TCCAGGTTAAAAATCCGTCTTATACGCCGGAAAATACGGTATTTTATTTTACCTAGTGCCTCCCCAGAGAAATTTTGTGCATGACAACACCCCATTACAACTTGGCAGATCCCACATTCTTCTTCCCCATTGTATAACTCTATAAAGTACACTTTCAGTGAATGCATTGCCCATCTTAATCCTTGAATGTTTTAAAAAGCGCTTAAACTGAACAGAAAAATTCCCTGGTGCTTGTTTTCTAAGCATCAGAAAGTTGCTTAGGGGAAGATAGGAGAAGTGTCAAAGTTCTAGTAATTGTGAGGCAATGTTTCAGGAGAATTATTTGCAGATGTCATCAAGATATCTGCAGTCCTATGAGAGCTAAAGGTAATGCAGCCACTGTTATTGCAGGACAAAGGGTGTAACTTCTTAAGTTCTGATGCCTGATTTCTGACTTTGCTCCCATTCCCAGCTGACCAATGCAGACTGATAAAGGCACCAAGCAGCTGCTGATGCATAACATTGCAGTTGTTCAAAATCTATAGTTTATACAAACTAATAATCACACTTTCTGCCATGAGATCCAAATTTAAATGAGAGCTCAGGAAAACTTGCTTTTTGCCCACAATCATCCATTTTGGCTAGGGGATTCTGGGAATTGTAATCCCAAAGTAACATTTCCAATCTCTGGTTTAAAGGCACAGACCTATTTTAAGTGATAGTGCTTTGTGATTAGACAGTATCTTTGTTGTCGCTTCCAGGTAAGTAAAAGAAGTGGGAATAGCAACAAAATGTTGCTCCCTCATAACCTCACTCCCACATTAGAGTCAGGATTTCAGCCAGCCATGGATTCCACCACCACCACCACCACCACCACCACCACCACCATCATCATCATCATCATCAAATTTATTTCTATTCCGCTCCTCTGCAGAAACAATCGGGGTGGCTTACAACAATAAAATACCACAATGTACATCCCAAACCCACCCACCCTTAAAATAATATTAAACATCGAGAAATTCTAGAACAATATAAAACATTCAGAGTGTTCCATTCTATGAACCCAAGTTTTCCTATTTATTTTCATCTGACACTCTTAAACCTTCTATTTTTAAAGATCTGTTTGACTTCTGGAGGCCTACATCTTGTTCTTAATTTTGACTCTAGACCCATCAGCTGAATTCCCAATGAGAGGACCACTTGGGCAGTACATATCCTTAAATTTTGGCTGACCCTAACAGGAGTATCATGAAAAAGGCTGTACTTGCAAGTGTGCAAAGGTAGCTTGGACAGGATTGGTGTGGCTGGGAGTCTCCTGCCTCCCAGTCCATCTTAAACACCTACATCTTATGAAGAGCGATTGCTCCCCAGAAATTAGAACAAGCTGTACAGTTTGGTCAGAAAGCAAAACAAAGGGTTGCAGGCAAGAAATTTGAGAAGCAGTTGTTCTCAACCCTGTTCCTTGCCCAACTGTCCCATTCACCACAAGGAACAGAGAAAGCCTATCTTTTGAGATCCAGCCCAACCTTGTTGTTGTTCACGGCTATGAAAATGGCAGAGTCAGAAGAGGAAAGGAATCCTGCACCAATCCCTTGAGCTGTGGAGTGCACTACTTGGTTGTCGACTTGTCTTTCTAAAAAAACGTGCCTTCAAGATCCATGAGGCAGTGGAGCCAGGCTCACAGGGTTGAAGCCCCAGGTGTTTTAGCAGGAACTCTGACATTAGCCAAGGATATTGCTACAAGAATCATCCTGGGAAGGGTCTACACTTCAAAACGTACAGCTATGAATCATGTTTTCTATTTTTACTGGTTCAAACTATTTCATGTGCATTTTTGCAGCAATCCTTACAAGAACTCTGTAAGATAAGTTAGTGCTGTCATCTCCATACAGCAGATGGGGATAAAGCTGACAGACAGCATAAAAGAACAACTTGCCTAAGTCAGGGTTGTGGAGGCTCTAGCCCAGGGGGCTCACAAGGCTTTACTACTAAGATCAGAGATAAAAAGTAAGAAACTGTTTAAAGCCTCATGAAAACAAGTTCTAGTCTGTAGCCTGGGAAGGTACTGCCATGAGTAGCCATGCACAGAACTGAGCTGCATTTTGTACACCTGAGGTGGGAGTGGGGAATGCCTAAATAATTAAAAATTACATCTGTCCTCAGCCATTAGGCTTTGGCCCCTGATTCATACCACAAGCCTATTCCACTGCTAGAATGTGATTCCTGACACCTTCCCCAAACTGGAAATTGGGCATGGAATGAAAAAGGTTGCCCCAAACTCTAGCCTAAGGATGCTTGCTGAATCACTTCTTGAGCAATTTCCTGGCTAACTCAAGGTCAGTTCTTGTGACAGAAGATAAATGTATTTGTGCTTAAACAAGCTTGTCTTCAAACAAACAAACAAACAAACAAACAGGTTTGTGTTCAATTGGCTGACCAAGAACAGCAGGCACTTCTCCCCACAAGTGTTCTAAACATAAAAATTGACTCACCCACATATTCATCCATATTGAAGGTTTTCACATATTTGAAAGAGAGATCACCATTTTTGCAATATTCTATTAGTTTCCTGTAACATCCTAGTGGAGTACTTCCTGCAAATTAAAGAAATCAGAGTACTTTCAGCAACATCTTAATTCTGCACAATTGTTAGGCTACTGGCTTTTAAGTGAAAGTCACCAGTGCTCTGTGTTAATCCCTTTAAAAGGATCAGGCATACACTGTGTTGCTCCACATCTCTCTATCTCTCTTTCAGTCATCAGTGTTGCAAAACCACGTTGGCACTCTGCTTCCACAAATGAGATTGTTGTTTTTTTTTTATTGAAAGGCAAGCACAGGTATTTTACAAAATTAAAATTAAAGCACACAGCATCTACTTGCAGCTATTCTTATGGTAGTGCACTGCCTGCTATTAGCAATGTGCTAATGCCTCCAGGAGCTGGGCTCTACCAGGGAAAACTGGTTTTATCTCAAGAAAGTATGAAGAGTCCTGCTGGTTCTGACCAAAGGCCTACTGAACTGGTCATTCTTTTTACATAGGATCCAGTCAGATGGAAAGAAGTACAACAGCAGCATTGCACTTGCTTAATTTAGCAAAGAGTTTAGAGATATACTGTCTCCAA